GGAGACTACCTGTAGAACTCCACCTCCGGCTCCAGAGCACGTTAGAAATTTCTCGTCTAATCCGAGTAACCTGGCACCCCAATCCATTACAATGGCTTCGAGTTCCGTCGAAGCTGGGCTACATGCCCACTGAATACAGAGGTTAAATTATGAAGAGTTGCCTAATAAGAGTGGTACTTACATTAAACCCTGGATTTGATACGCTTCCAGCGTAGATGTCTCCGATCAAACTCTCGAAAGATGCCAAAGATGGAAAGTATGCGAAGAATGAGGGATGCTGCCAGTGAGTTACACCTGTACAATGTAGTGATGTCAAATTACGCTAAGCCTAGATGCGCAATAACACATGCCAGGTAGAATATACTGCTCGAAGTCGTTGGTGATCATCTCCATACTTTCTCCTTGAGTCGGTGCATGATCTATTGTATTCTAAGTATGATCCAATGCAAAGTGAAAATGTATGGGCTGACCAGGGAGTAACTTGGCTAGATAACCTGGTTCCACTTGAGCGACAACCGGCCTTTTCTCGAGAGAATAATAATAATCGCAAATACGGTCGATTGCTTGATATGCCGCCTTTCGGAATCTGAGTAAATGTGAGCCCCTGCTTGGATAATCAATATTAGAGCTTGGCGATTACTGTTCAATATCCATCTTTCACGTCAGTGAAGTCGTGCTTTATGATATTTGTGTGCCTTTATGTTTTTGGTGACAAGTCAGGGGATTCAGTCGACTCCAAGTTGTAATCAAGGCCAGAGAATCGCTTCAGTAAAAGTGAATGGGACTTGCTAATTATTGCAATAGGAAGTGGGAAAAATTCATGCTTCAACAGACGATTCATTTTGTGCGCCAGCTCACGAGCTAACTCCAAATGTTGGCGTTGGTCTTCGCCGACAGGAACATGAGTAGTACTATTGATAATGATGAGAATTATCATAGTCGACGGGGTACTGGGGTAGCTAAACGAACCGATAAAGAAGAACATCCGCTGCTTGTAACACTGGATACGTGAACAAACCCAGATTTAAATTACTGTCATCCACGTCAAAGTTCGAGATATCTTGTTGGATAGCTAACTTGCTCTGAATGCCTCGGGTTATTTGGGCGAAAGATACTATTGAGGATGTCGAACCTTCCAAGTGGTCATCCGTTTCAATCTTCCCATCATGGTATGACAGTTCAGGAGCCACGCTAATTCTGAATGTTGTGGAACCTACACCGTGTGTTAGTGTGCATCCAAGCTATCTTCAAGCTACGACCCACATCTTCTTGGAAAAAAAGGATGGCTTTATTTGGATCGATACCAATGGCAAGGAGACTCGCCAACGTATTTAGCCTGTCTTCAAGGAGCTTCTTTGGGTTTTGTGGCATTGTGAGAGCGTGCAACCCTACGATTGAGTATAGAAGTTGACGTGGCTTAGTTCCCATATGTTGCATCTCGACCCATTGTGAAAGTGCTCCAAAATAATTTCCAAGCTAATAAAATGGTGTCAAAATGGAAAAAGCGGAGAACGCCAAGTCGAAACCAACATGCGGGACCCCTGTAGGCTGGATACCACTAAAAATGACTTCTTTGTGTTCACCCTTGGAGCCGTAAGGACGAATGTGACCTTTTCGGAAGTAACAGGTTCTCGTTAATGGTCGTCTCAGTGACGCAAGCCATGAGCGCATGAAGAGGTCGAATTCAAGTTTTTTTAGACTAAGGAAGCGAGTCACCGCCAAAATGTAATAAAGGATAAAAATTGAGACTGTATTGCGAAAGTCTAGTATCAAGTGAAAAACTGTGCAAGGTATACATGGAGACTGAGATAATAAGGCAAGCCTTCCTAACCTCAGAAGTATAGGTTAATGCGGACAAAACAAGGACATGTGCTACGTAAAGAGGGCCATCACGGCTACCCAAACCTGGATATGGCGTGCCTGGCCATCCTTACGGAGCATATGGGTTGAATGCGAGCATCAAAAAGAGGAGAAATCAGACGTATTTGCGTGTGAAACGCACAGGAGGGTATCTGCGTTTTACCGAAGATGCAATCCCAGCGATTCTTGTAGTTTGAGGTATTATCTCAATGCCCACCGCGGATGGGCCCCACACCGTGTTGGTTGCGGTTAGGGCGTTTGCGGTGGGTTTTGAGATGTCGGTTTAGATTGAAGGTGCGGTCAAAGGTCTGCGTACTATCAACGTATGAGGGCCAGCAAATACGACCTAATGAGACGATACTTACCAGTTGTGGTGGGAGCACCGGAAGCGAGGGGGTGCCTCTTCTCCTTCGACGCGGTGATGTAATTTACGGTGTTTTTCTAGGTCGTGAGACCATTTGTAGACATTAGGGCTAAGAGAAACCCGTCAGAAAGATGTTGTAGACGGTTGAAAGACGTGCTTACCATTCATTGCAGGGATACTTCAGGATGCGGAGATGCTCTCTGAGCACGTGAGCGATGCCACGATCCTCGCGTTTCCATCCCTTTCGATTCCAATCGCAGCCTCGCACTGCACAAACGAAACCCGGCTTTCCGGGTTGGACGAACTCGCGAACCAACTCCTTGGGAGGAGCTTCGCCGCGCTTAATCAATTCCAGGGCGCGAACGCAGGCGGAAACGAGGGAAGGATCATGAGCGATCCCTTGTTCGAATTCTTTATAGGTCCACTCAGCCGGACCAGAAGTATGCGGCTCAGGAGTGAAGGCACTTAGAGAAGAAATAGAAGGAGAAGGCGATAACGACGTCTCGGGCGGCGTGCAAGGAGGCGCTGAGGAGTCATCTGTCGTTGACCCGTCGTCTTGACTTTGATAGTAGGCGGCGCCTTCACTGGGATAAAATAGGGCGGCTTCAATGACTTCAACAACCTCGACAACTTCAACAACTTCGACAACTTCAACAACTTCGACGACTTCAACGACTTCAACGACTCCAACAACTTTAACTATATTGACGAATCTCTCTGTAGTCCTGGGTCGTATCCGAATGAACCCGCCCTATTT